TTAAACAGCTAGATACCAGGGCTATCAGAGGAGCACTGAGGAGGGCAATTTGAATCAGGGAGACTTGGATGCAACACTTTGAAAATGAGAACAAGTAATGTATATCTGTGATTGGTACTGCAATTAATATTACATGTAGTTTTCCTAGGAAGCAATGGTGAAATTTGGGGGCTTACACTCCAGTAAGAACAGGATTAAAATATGTACATACTGGTAGTGCCGGCTATCTCAATTTGTAGTAAACAAATAAAGATTCACTACTGTTCAAAACCTTTGCTTTTATTGCACAAGAAACCACACACACACACACACACACAAAGAGGTTTTCTGGGAAAAGAAGTACCATGGAAAGCAAAATACAGGACTATGTAGCACTTTAAAGACTAACACTTTTAAAGCTGTCTGTAGGTCCTGCTATCATTCTGAAAGTTGTCCAAGGAGATGAAGTTAAAGGGAAACCGAGAAGTCCCAGATAGTGGAAAGGGCTGTGTGGCAGTGCTTGGTGGGATAGGGTGCAAAAAAGAGTTGTGAATGTGCTGCAGGTGAGGGCAGGCATGCCTCTGCTTGCACAATTGAATTCAGTATCTGCATTTGCTCCTCTATGACATTAATCACCTTAACAAAGTCCTGATTTTCTTTTCTGCTCTGCCTTTCGTCTTCCCAGCATTCCCTGTGTTCCCTTTTCTCTGCAGTGAAGAAGTGCAGTACCTCCTGGTACATGTCTTCTTTACTCCATCTTATGTGCTTTCTTATCTAAAAGAGATGCGTGGCTGATGTGTTCCTCAAGGCCATATCTGCCAAAGCACAAGGAACAATGCACAGAAGGACGGTTGTTAAGTTCATGCCCAGCATTGAAACATTTCAGAGAAATACATCTCTGGTAACATCATAATCACTTTCTCACTGTCTCTTGGCAAGCACACATCTCAATGACCACCCAAAGCATGGCAAGTGTTTGCTGGGGAGACGGGTGAGGAGTGTGTGCTTCACATGGAGAAAAGACTAGTCTGCAAGGGTGCAGTAACGAGGTGAAGCTGACTAGGGAAAAATTCTAAAATTCTCCCACACTTTTCCACAGCTGGAGGTCATTGTTGCTGAGGGTAAGCAGGGAAGAAAGGGTATATCTACTACATACTTGTGACTTCTGCCTTGATACCTATGATGCTCACCTGTGTGCTGCTTTGGTCCCTGTACACGTAGAATCATAGAATCGTAGAACACTAGAACTGGAAGTAACCTTGAAAGGTCATTGAATCCAGTCCCCTACCCCCACGGCAGTACCCAGTACGTAATAGCCAAATGGAGCAGGAAAGTATCCTACAATGGGGGAAGGAACAAAGGAGATCTTCCAAGGAGCCATCAGCAGAGGATCTTCAGAAAACTTTCCTAAAGATCTCTCTGGAGGATTCCTATGAAATCCTGGTCTCATCAACGTCCTATTCCTCTCTACTGATTAGCTGCACAGGAAAATGTCCAGCACACAGAAACACAGCTTTGTACCTTTGTATCCCCTGAACCTTCCTCTGTACTACACAGACCACATCCACTTACCAGGTATCTCCTCTCCTGCATCTTGCTCACCAGAGAGCAACTGCTGAGACTGGCTAGTCTCTTCCAGAGTAATGAACCGTTCCTAGTTGCCTGCCCCACTGGGTGACTCCACCAGAAGATCCACGTTGTTGTCTAACTCCACCTCTTCATCAATGACTTCATCCTTTGGATAAGGTCAAGGTCCTCTTTCCACCACCTCCAGGCCTGTCCAAGTACCTATAGAGCTTTTGGTGGTGGCAGTCAAGTTGCCATTGAGGATAGTATCCAGCTCCTTATAGAGCTAATAGGTCTTAGGTGCAGCACCAGCATGATGGTTTGCCTCCCTCACCTTATGGCATGCCTGCCTTCACTCCTTTATCTTCATTCTGCACTGCAGTGTGTCTCAATCATAGCCCTTTTCACACAAACCTTGAGGAATCTATTCATAAATATCAAAATTCATATGGATCAAGCACAGCTGGGACTACACAACCTCCTCAGGGATCCTAGCAGGAGAGCATTTACTACAATAATCCACTATGGTCAAATGGGATATGCAGTGAGACTTCTCCATGCCGAATTTCAAGAATTTCAAAAATTCCTGGGGCTTCTAAAGGGGAGGGGTGGATGGTGGTTTACTTGGCTTCAGGACAGTTGAATTCAAATTGCTGATCAGAGCAGTCAGGATGGGCATTGTGGGACACATTCTAGAATCCAATTAAAGAAATAAAATCAAGTCCGGTGTCTATACTGCCACTTTGTCAACAAAATTTGTGTGCAAAAAGCCTTATGTTTCAATGGGGGTTATATTATTTTGTCACCAAAATAGGGCATTTTTGCTGGCAAAAGTCACATTGCAGTGTAAACACCTTCACTATTTTGTCAACAAAACCTGTCTTTTGTTAACAAAACTCTGTAGTGTAGACAAGTCCTTCACCTTTTATTGGACCAACTTCTGTTGGTGAGAGAAACAAGCTTTTATGCTTATACAGAGCTCTTCTTTATATCCAGCAACACTTCTTCAGCTACAACACTGCATGGTTAGTTTGAGTTGGAGTATTCAGAACCTGGTAGTACCTGTTAACCAGACATATGCATGTGAATCATAGAATACTAGAACTGGAAGGAACCTTGAGAGATCATCAAATTGAGTCCCCTACCCTCATGGCATGACCAAGCACCATCTGCCTGATAGTTGTCTGTCTAACCTATTCTTAAATATCTCCAGTGATGGAGATTCCACAACCTCCCTAGGCAATATGTGTCTCCATTTAATGGCAGTGAATCTGGGAATCAGCAAGTCTTAGACATTCCACTTAAATTAATCAGCACTATTGGTATACACTCAAATCAGTGAAGGATTCCACAGACGTCTAACTTCCATATATACTGTAGTGATGGGGGAGAGGTGACTGTTCCAGTCAAAGACTGGATACTCTCCACTCTGTACATGGAAATTGCATCAAATGTATGATTTGAAACTTATAGAGAGTATGCCTTGAAAATAGTAACAGCTCTTTCAGCATAGTACAGTGACGTTTTCAGCTGTGAATAACAAGTTGGCTTTTACTAGCTGAGCAGCACAAATTTTCTGAAGCACAAATGGTTTAAATCCAACTTTGTTTGACAGATCCTGTAGCCATCAGATAAGGGTATGCAGACCCAGCTTTCCAAATGGATTAGGCATCAGAGAAGAGAAACGCTGGGCAGATATAAAGAACTAGTTAGTGTTTTGTGCTTATAGTCTGTTGTAGTGGGCTACTGCCTAGATTTCTCTTTGAGGAAAAACTCTCTTGAGAACATCGTATATTGCTAGTATTTGGCCATAGTGAATTTCGAAGAGCAGTTCTGTCACTGTAAATTATGTTGCATGAAAGAGTGAACATTTTGTGTCAGGACTGAATTTACTTATCAAACCCTCCAAATCTATCCTGAGATAGAATTAGGATAATGTCAATTTCTCAAGAATGCTCCTGGGATCTAGAAAGTTTTTCATGGTAGTTGCTCCCCTCTAAGCTAGTATATGGGTGGTGGCACAGGTATGCAACTAGACCCAATCTATTCTGCTTTGTTAATTTATCTTTAATTATGGCTGCTATGTTAGCCCTCATCTACATAAAGGCTTTATTTCAAAATAACTCCCTTAGGTCAAATTTATAAACAAAGCATCCACATTACCAAGTGCATTATTTCAAAATAAGAGGCCGTTTATTCTGAAATCTGTACTCCTACTTTTCTGGGGAATAACTTTTATTTCAAAATAGTTATTTCAAAATAGCGTTAGTGTGGACACTCTGGTAGTTATTTCGAAATAACTACTCCCCAGAGTAATTTAAACTAATTACACCCCAGAGCTTGCTGGGCTCTAAGTCGAGATAGCATGTACACATTAATGGAGCCTGCTTCAGATTAATTTCTAGGCTTCCCTGTAGTGGGGACACGCTATTTCAATTTTGTAAAATCAAGAGTTAGTTCAAAATAGTTTTTTCATGTAGACATGGCCTTAGGAGCTATTGTATATGTTTTTATGCTCAGCTAATCTATAACTTCATTAACAAAAATGACTTCATGCACTTCAATGGCCCTCTGAAGGCATCTGAGTTCTCATAAAATGAACTCGTTGCTTCACTTTGCAGCCTTTATTGGCAAGCTGCCATTTTCTAACCTACTCGCCCACAAACTAACTGTGATAAAAACAACCACAAAATACTTAGCAGCTGACAATGTTCTACTTGGAATGTGTGGTCAAGAACTCTAACAGGATTTGTCTGACTATAAAAAAACCCCAAATCATTCACTTTTTAGCTTGATTCTACAGAAATCCTTTCCCAGGCAACTGATGTTGACCTGAATATCTTTCTTTCTTTCTTTCTTTCTTTCTTTCTTTCTTTCTTTCTTTCTTTCTTTCTTTCTTTCTTTCTTTCTTTCTTTCTTTCTTTCTTTCTTTCTTTCTTTCTTTCTTTCTTTCTTTCTTTTAAAAAAATTACTGTTATTAATTGAAAGGTCAGGTAGTAGTCATCATAATCAGTGTTTAATGATTCTTAATTACTGAGACTTACAGCCTATAGAAGAAAGAGGATAAATAAGTCTTTTATAATAAGTTCATTGTGAAATTCTTAATTCGAAGAGAGGCCACTTGGCATTTATGTATTATTAATTTCTTATTACTACTTGCATTTTATTTGAGATCAGCAAGCATCATATCTAGATGCCTTAAAAGGCTCAAGCTGAGACATACAGGGCTCAGTAAAATAGAATACCTTTCCCTCTTCTGTTTTCAGTTTGCTTGCCATAGGTCTAGGCCAAAAGCCATTTAAGTTAACAGCTCTTGTTGACTTCGGTGGGCTTTGAAAAAGTTTCAGACTTGGAAAGTCAAGATAGGAATTATTTATTTGGAATATTGGGGTGCTTCTTGTTCCTTTCATGTTACTCATTCTCCATCTTCCTTTTCACTCCCTATCTTTCATCAGCATCCCCATAATAGTGCCAACGAAGGACAAGGCCCTCATATATTCCACTGAGTAAATCTACTTCCTAAGTATTTCTGGCCAGCAAGGATGAGCAGGAATCATGGAGCCAGTTTAAGATATGAAGAGAAATTATGTAAGTACCCTCCTCAGAAAGTGGTTTTTGTTGTTGTTGTTGTTGTTGTTGTTGTTTTTTGGTGCTAGAACCACATTTCAAAAACATATTACACTTTTGGTCATTTCTAATTGTTAGTTGTATGTATATCTGCCAAATAGTTATTCCTATTCATTATAACTGTTCACTGACCCAAACATATGCTCTGCATGAAGACTTGAGAAATCTTTAATATATAATATAGTCACGTTTCTTCAAGTAACTGACATTCTTTTTAAAGGTTGCATTTTCAATAACTTCTTTTCTGCACTAATATTTTTCACTGAGAATTTTCATGCTGATTATTCCAGGCAATTTTAGTATTTATTTTGTGATTAACACATATATTGAAGAGTCCTTAAGTACTCTATAATACAGTAAAATTTCAGGGGTTATTGAGAGCCATTATAATGGATCAATAAGTGCTCAACACTTATAAAATCTCATGGGTGTACTATTAATGTATTAAATCTTAACAACGCCAAAGCTATTGTCAAATTCTGTTTGGTGTGTAGCGCACTTTTTAAAAGTCCTTATATGTTTGAATGATGATGGAATTGAAAGATGCCCATACTTACTGACCCTCTGAGCCACATATGACAACCTTCAAAAGTTTGAAAGTTAGGGCTCAGGACTTCAGCCCCCCAAGACACCCCTCCCCATTGAACAGAAGGCAGAAGTGACACGTGGTGGGATCACATGGCATTGCATGCATTTGCCTCTCCAGATTTTACCAGGGTTTGCTGGCCCTGTTGAGGCACGTGTTTCTTTCTAGCCCCTTCCCTGCATGGCAGCCACTGGAGCCAGCAAGTTGGGAGCTGCAGCCATGGGGAGAGGCAGCAGCAAACAGCTAGCAGCTGCAGGGAGGGGTTGCTAATGGTAAAAGGAGGGAGGCATGTCTAAAGCACTTGGGAGGGTGAACCTTTAAATTGGGTCCCCTTACATTCAGCAAGGACAAGTCATCTCTAGTAGAGGCCCCTAGCCACCAGCCTGCTGCAGGGCAGAAGCCCCAACTCTCCCCCTCCCACAAATCTGATTGGCGGAGAATGGTGGTTCATGAAGGACTTCGCAAGCCACACATTAAATGTCAAAGAGCCGCTGATTGGCATCCCCATAGCAGACTGGTTGGCGTATGTATGAGTACACGGATGGATTCAGAATTACTTAACTGGGTTTCAGAGATGATGGTATTGTTAGAGCTACAGAATGTTTTCAAGTGTTAGGGATTTTCACTTTTGGAAGAGGAGGCTTTGAGATCACCTTTCTACTGCTGTGACATTCTAAGCATGGCTCTGCGACACAAAGCCATGAAATTCTAGCTGGACATAGATTTTTTACAACACTGTCAGAGTTCATAAATACAGCCTTCTACAATATTATAATCTGACTTTTAAAGGGTCTCTTTAATATATACAGTGATGACTTGCATTAATTGTGTTTCTGTGTGGTGGTGGTACACTCAATCTCATTGATTTGCTGTTCTATGGCAAAACTTAAAATTATTAGCCATCCTTTCATCCAGGCTCAGACACATGCAGGCTTTCAGCTGACTTCAATGAGCAATGTGAATATATAATCCAAGACTAAAATTTTACTCTTTTTTTCTCTTAAAACCCAATTACTTCAGCACTGGATCAAAACGACAATTTTTTTAAAAATCTGAATTTTTATACATTTCCTTGAGAGTATTTTCTTTGCCTTTTTATAGTAGCATAAAACAAGGAATCTATCTTATTGTATTACCACTTGAATTAATTGTACAATTTTTTCATGTAATAACCTGTTCTTCACATCAGATCTTCTTTAAAATATGTGCCTTAATGTATACTACATATAAGTTAAAAACAGACTCCTAATGGAGTGTATTTTCATATGCCAGCAATGATTTCTCTCATATTCTGTTGGAATCTATGAATAATTCTGTAACTTGAAATATGTAAATAGTATTATGCAACATATTACAGCTCCCAAACCTTCTTAATGAGCTCCATTTGAATGGACTCCTGCACATATATGAAAACCAGAATAGGAATGGTGCATAAGTGAAATTAAGACACCTTAAAAAAGCCATATTATTGGGTTTATATTCTTATCACTATGAATACATAACTCCACATGCTCAAATTACAAATATAATGATATATTTTTATGTAAGTTGTCATGTGAATTTGTTGTATGAAACTGTAGCTCTCTGAAAATTTTTTGTTTTTAATAATCAATTTTCCACTATTGATTTTTCTAAAGTTACATCAAGTTCACAATTCCATTAAAGGCTGAGTGTGAGAAAAACAAGCATATATCATTTATTCTCATGTTATCCTCATAGGGCTTTGGGAATTAGAAGGGCTTTATAGACCATCTCGAGCACATCTTGGATGTTAAGGTGACTGAGGTCCTTCAAATTAAGAGAATATTGTTATCTTCCAATCGGGGATGGGGACAGAGACTGGGCTACAAAAAGCACAAGGAGAATCTGCCAACAATAAATGGGAATGCATTTTTAAAGAAAAAAAGAATTATGCAGTGAATATCTGAGAACTTTTACTTTCCTCTGACTCCTGTTCAATGGAATATGTGAGCAGATAGAGTCTCTCAAATATTTCTTCTTTATAAACAATCAATTCATATATGTCTTGGGGGAAATCTACCTTCTCATTCAAAGCAGACTCTCCCCATGACCACACACACAGGCATGCATCCCACAAACTGCTTAGCGGTGCTTAGGAAATACTTACTAAGTTGCAATTGTGGGAACTATTGTGGAATTTGAACTATGAAGATGGATAATGTAAATACGGTGGGTTGTGTATTTTTTGCTTTCACACAATAGGCAAGGTTATAATTATTTTTGAAAAATATACCATTAGCATATTTGAAAATCATGAGCATTAATACGTCTTATTCACATATGTAAGTTATGTTTACCTCCAAAACAAGATATTACTGAGGATTATAAATTTAATGCTTTGGTTGGTGTGTTTGAGACTAGCTAAAATGGATGAAGAGGGCTCTTGGGTAAAATTATGGTGTCCATATTATTAAAGATAAATTGGATGGGGAATTTAGCACAGAATAAATACTATACAGAGTTTGCTGGAAACCAAAATTCCGATATTTAAAAATTTTGCTTTACTTCTCAATTAGAATGAAAAGTCCAGAGTTCCTTCAAAACAAAAGTTACTTTTTCTCCAGCACTATCAAAACATTTCATGTTGATAATGTCATAACATATTAAAATATAATACATACACTTTACATGTATGGCATGTGTGTTTGATATAATTCAATATATCTGAATAATATTTTAATATAATAGAAAAGTCAAAATGGAAAGAATCCAAACAACAAAGTGACAATTATTTGTCTTGACTTTTTCCTGTTTCAGATTTCATTGAAATCAAAACATGGCTGCAAAACATTTAGACTTTGACAAAACTACAATTTCCAACGGAAAACTCTTCCAGGAAAAATTGTCCCAAAAGATCTAATGCTGAAGCCAAAGATAGTCTTGAAAACAGTCTCTCTCTTTTTTTTTTTTTAACATCTGTTTATTATTTATTGAGCCTGGAATTTTTAAAAAATCTGAGTTAGGAGCCCAATCCCCCTTGACTTGTAATGAAGGCTGATTTAGGAGCTGAACTTTTTTAGGCTCACTTGGTCCCAGGATTAATTGTCTAATTTTATTGATGTTGTCATTGGTGTTGTTTTCTTTATTATAGCAGCATCTAGAGACCTCAGCCAAGAGTAAATGGCAGTCTTTGGCCCAAAGAACTTAACATCTAAAAGTCAGGATATAATTGTTGGATGAACTAAGACAAAAGGACAGGGGTAAGGGAGAAGGGGTAACAGCAAAAAAAATGATTTAGTGAAGTTTAGATATGTACACAAATTGTAGGTGGTATAAATTAAATAGCAGCAGAAGCTACAATAAATTCCATTTGCCCCCTGCCTATTCATGGAGAAAAAATATTACCAGAGTAAATGCTGAAGTCCAGGGTAATCTTTCAGGCATCACCCCAATTTCTAACATTGTTTAAATACTTGTTTATTTAAACTTTGATGAGGTTTCCACAAGGCCAGTCTCAGCAGATTACTGTTTTAACAGCACAAAGTTTAACAACATAAGGGTATGTCTACCCTAGCCCCTAGTTCAAACTAGGGAGGCTAATGTAGGCATTCGAAGTTGCAAATGAAGTCCGGGATTTAAATATCCCGGGCTTTATTTGCATGTTCCCGTCCGGTTGCCATTTTGAAATTCCACTAGCCCGAAGTAACTCTCTGCGGCAACTAAGTCCTTAGTTCGAATTAACTGTTACACCTCATTCTAGGAGGAGTAACAGTTAAGTCGAACTAAGGACTTAGTTGCCGCAGAGAGTTACTTCGGGCTAGTGGAATTTCAAAATGGCAACCGGACGGGAACATGCAAATAAAGCCCGGGATATTTAAATCCCGGACTTCATTTGCAACTTCGAAAGCCTACATTAGCCTCCTTAGTTCGAACTAGGGGGCTAGTGTACACATACCCTAACAAACTTAGCTTAAAAAGTTCCCCAAAACCTTTTCAGACCCAGCACAGACGCCTTCATATCATGAATCTTAATATGCAACTTAAGTGAGTATTTCAGACTACATTAAAGCTGCTTTATGGCTATGCACAGTTTCCTAAATTATATATGAAACTGTGTATAGAGAGAGAGAGAGAGAGAGAGAGAGAGAGAGAAACAGGCTAATAAGCTTATTGTGGCAACACAAAAAGTCAAAAAGAAATTTACTTTATGGGGGAATTTCACAGTCTCAATAGTCCACTATCATAAGGTAACCATCAGCAAAGCATGTGCTTCATGAAAAATGCAGTTCTTCTATAGCTCATTGCTCTTGACTGAAAGCAAAATTTAATGAGAATGACATGTGGTCTAGTGATCTGAGCTAGAAAACTTCTAAATTCCAATCCCTACTCTCCATCTTGTCTTTCTCTAAAACAC